GCCCCATGTTTTCCCACACCACCTTTATCTGTTGATTAAAAATTCTACCCATTAAATCACCGATTTTAACGGAAAATCATAGAGGTAATTTGTGGTGATGTCAGCTCTTAAAATAGTGCAAGTTTGACGTCACTGTTTACTAAGAAATTCAAACGCTTCTAGAAAATTCCAGTTAGGCCGAGCTATACTTCCTTTTTTTCTGGTATAACAAAAGTTGTAAAACAAGTTATGCCATAGTGTTTTAAATGATACTATATATACACTTGTATTGGGTGATGTTAATTTTCGATCGTTATACCGAAACTAATTTATTTTGAAAATAAATATTGTTAAGTGAGTGTCTAGAACTATTGTAGCAATACTTAAATCCTTAGATTAATTTTTTATGTCATATTTAAATCCCCATCACTGGTAATCACAAAATAGATAAATAAATAAATAAATAAAGAGACTATGAAGTATTTTGGATCAGGGTTCAAATTGTAAAATTATATCGAAACACTTTTTTTGGGTACAATTGACATGATTGTCGTCTATAAAAAGAGGACGAATTTTATCATGCTAAAGCCAATTTAAAAAAATAATTTTGTAAATGCAAAAATGTGACATCACATATTCTCACACATAATATTATTACCTTTCATCAAACGTTGTCAAAAACTTTCACCCCCCCCCCCACACACACTCTAGGATTTGGAAATGGAAAACCTTTCACACCCCCCCCCCCCCCACACACACACTCTAGGATTTGGTAATGGAAAACTTTCCCCCCCCCCCACACACACACTCTAGGATTTGGAAATGGAAAAACTTTCACCCTCCCCCCCCCTCCTACACACATAAACAAGGTGTAGGAATGGTAGTTTACTGTAGCTTTCCGAATAAGGGGGCGTACGTAGGCCTAAGTATTTTGTTGACATAGCTATTAAATGAAGTTTTAAAAAAAGACGATTTTTTTTACGAATGGACAATGGGAAATGAAAACACCTCACCAACTTTTCTACGAAGTTTTATTAAAGGTTAAGTACTTGTAAAAGTAAAATCTCTACGCTGCCTAAAACTATTTCAAAACCTTATTTTAATACTATAGTATAATACTATGTACACTATAAATATCCCATATCATCAATATCCGTATCAGTAAATGTCCAATATAAATATTTCCTACATTAACTCAGTCCAGTTGGCACACGTGAAATTTTATTCCGCATGCAAACTATGAACTGCTCTGTCATGATCCTTGCATCAGCTTTATGCGTCGTCCAAAAAGCAGACAAACTGCGACTTGGGACTACGTGAAACAATTTGGCTCTTTGAATACTTCTAGGCTGCGAATATTGATTTATCGTTATTCGGAAACAATTTTTTACTCTTAGTTCTAGATCTAGCCTTGGCCAATATTAAAATGGATCTGAATACTTTTGTTATAGTTATAGTAGTAGTTGTTATATCCACTTCTTACACTAAGGCTACAGCAACTTAGTATATTTAGGTTATTTATTTTTTGTTTTAAGAGTAGGCTAAACATTTATGCTGAAACTTTCATGGCTGACTTATTTGAAGCAAATAAAACGTATTTATCCCCTTGCCATAAACTATAGGTCTACTGCGTAAAAGTATACCTCCAATCATAAACAAGGTGATATGTGTTTAAAACAGATTTAAAAAAAAAAATTAGCCCAATATTTAATGCCGTATCTTGTAAATAAATAAATCAAATAATCACGTGACATTTGGAGGATTCAAGTGCATGTTGTCGCTGAAGAGACAATACGTCACACTCATGGAGGATAAAAAAATAAATTCCGACTTTGGTGGCGATGATCTATGGGGGGGGGGGGGGGGGTAGGGTTAAACATATTACGTAATAGACGTGCGTGGTTTTTTTAAAGGTCTACATAATTTTCTAAAAATAAAAATTATTGAAATTAGCCCGCATGAGGATGGAGGTTTAAGCTTGTTAGCTTGATGTGTGGGACGGGGGAGGGGGGGGGGACGGGGGGGGGGAATGTTGTGACGATCCATTATGACATAATGAGAGAAACAAATACTATTCGCTAACATTACTTGAAGTTATTTATGGATATCCAAAAATACTTATTTATGTTGTCCTACTAAGCGAATATACATTTTTTCCCAAACTTAATGGACGTAGTGAATGAAGCTATCTTAAATCTTAATCGTTTCTTTCCGTTGGATTTTAATCTTTTGAAACGTAAAACTAAAACCAACAAACGCTGTTTCTATTTTTTGTTGTTGAATGGTTCTATTTATAGAACCTCTTGTTTTCTCATTCGTTCTTACTTTGTTTATTGTTTTTGTGCGTAATACTGCTTGCCCTTTTAAGTAAATGTGGAAGTGTTTCACTACTTAGGCTAAACGTAAACAATACATGACCCCATGCGTCACAAGAGCTAAAAATAGTCAAATGGAAACCTAGGGTTTGTTTACACGTACTCCAACACTGCAAGCGGCCAAATGGCAAATCTAGTTTTGAAAATCCGGTAGACCTACGTGACGACGCGAGAAACCTCCCGAAACTTATTTTTAGAATCGCGTCATCGTTTCTAAAAATAACTCTCTTAGTCACAGGTCAATCCCCTAGATGTACTGGTAGAAATGAGGAAAAATATTTATTGGGAAAACTAATCTTTTAAACTAATCAGACAAATAACATTGTTTCAGGTTAATACATTAAAATTCCCTAAAAATTAGACTCGCTTTGTACAAACATAAAATTGTTTTGAATTAAATCAAGATCTCGATCTAACCTGAAGTAGAATTAGAAACAACAGTTGTTCAAAAGATACATGTATTAATAGGTTGTTGCACGTAGTTTTTAAACTCCACTAATTTCGAAATAAATTATACCAGAATAAACTAGATTTTTTCCACTAACACATTGATACCGATTTTGTGTCTCTAGCTTCATTAGGAGCTAAGAAATGGCCTTTTTAAAATTTGTGGGCGTGGCAAAAACAGCCTAGACCTACGCAGTGGCGTAGCGAGGTCGGGTGTAACCCGGTGCGGCACTTAATGGTGTCACACCCCAGAGGCGTAGCGACCCTTCCCGGGGACAAACTTTCAAGTTTTCGATTTGCACCCCCCCCCCCCTCAAACTTTTGATTTGCACCCCCCTCAAGTTTTTCTCTATATATTTTGCTATTTTTTGCCTTGGTGTCACCCCCCTAAATGGTGTCACCCGGTGCAGTCCGCACCCCCCCCCCCCCTTCGCTACGCCCCTGGACCTACGTAATGTACATAGTCGATTCTGATCTGATATTTGTTTTATAACAAAATAGGCCACGATGTTAATATCAGTAGCTAAAACGTCTACTGTGCTGTAAATAAATGATTTTTATGCAGGTTTTTGTCGTGGACGGGGGTAATTAAACGGATTAAGACTATATAAACATATACGTTTATATAGGGACAATTCGTGTATATATATAATTATATATATATATATATATATATATATATATATATATATATATATATATATATATATATATATATATATATATATATATAGGCCTACAGTATATCGCCTATTCAGGGCTTATATATCATACACAAGCGAACCGATGCCTGTCAATGTAGGCCTACTTGAGACAGCTATCTGGCCCACCCCTGTCTACGCCAACACTCCAGGAAATAACTAAGTTGTAGCTTGACCGAAGTAAATAGGCCACAGACCTCTGTATTCTTGTACTAGTAACCTATTCCCTTCTAGATCTAGTACATGTCATACAAAATGTCGATAAACCAATCACTTATTAGCCAAACAAGTAATATAAGTCCATCAGTTCGATGTCCAATTTAACTAAAGTAAGCTGTTTAAATTTCGGTAGGCCGAAAGAGGGGATGGGTAAATTAAAGTGTCGAGCCGGCAACGCTATCGTACATCGTGTAGATCTAGGTCTTCTTTTTAAATACTAAGAAACATGTTTGTTTCGGTTTAATTTTGTCTAGGGGCGAAATAGTGGGTCAGTTGGTAGGGCGACTGAACTCGAATAAGAATATGATGGCTGTTGGATACGTTTTGGTTGAAGATTAACTCTACTATAAATTATAAACAAAGCTGGCTATATAAAATTAAGACGCTGTAGGCAATACACATTACGACTAAAGTACCGAGACCCATATGCGTTGTAGCCATCTTTACAAATTACAATCTTCACCACCTATCGCTACACTCAACACGAGTCGACGGTGTCAGGCATAAAAAAAGCCTCCATTAATTAAATCCGTACGCGGTGCACGCAAGGAAGTCGTGATCACAGGTAGTCGTGCCTTGACGTTGTTTTGTTGCTATCCTCTCATAACAACATAATACTATTCTATTAATAGCTGTCATGTAGCCCAACTACAAGTAGGTCACTGGCAGAATACATTGGGTTGTAGAACTTTGAGAGGTATTCGTTGTTAAAAATAGTGATCATTTTAACTAATTTAGCATTAGGTCTGTATACTAAATATTTGCCCCCCCCCCCCCCCCCCCTCCACCACAATACACTGGCAGAATATTATTTGGTAGAATTTAAGACAAGAGTATAACTGGATAAAAATAGTGCTAATGTGAGGATCAATACAACTTTCCTTTTTAATTTTTCCAGGAAAAAATAATAGGACAAGTAGCCTACAATACAAGTAGATCTATCATTTTAAGTGACAAAATTGTGAAACAGCAGTTAATTGACCATTTGAATAGAGCTCTAAGAAAACTAAGACCAGCTAGTATCTTGGTGTGTTTAATAAGGCAGTCTAATAATAAATTTTACTATTTAAACAAGTAGTTAATCAGGTATATATTTTATAGAAGTAAGTCCCTATCCTCAAGATGAATTAATTCATTAAGAGGAGACTACAGACAGCTAAACGTAAAAGTTAATTAACCATCCCATCTTCCAAGTAAAACCACCTACACCTAAAATTGATTTCTTTGAGGCTTTTTCCTGTAACAGTTAAGTATAAAATAACAGAAGACACCATTTCACATTGCAAAGTACATTCAGTAATTTATTTAATTTCAGGACAATATTACAATTACAATCAGAAATAGACATTAATAGATCAACACGGTAGGTATTGAGAGTAAAGTGGTTAGGTGTGTGCTGATGTTGCTATCAAAGCAAAATTCTCAAGGCTTGAGTGGAATAGTCACAACTATTTTATTCATAGTATATGGAGAACTATTAAAACAGCCACAACTATTTTATACATATTTATAGTTTGTACACAATGTACCAAGAAGGATAAAAACTTTGATTTGAGGTGTTATGGATTGCCATTTTTAAACCGAATGTGTCCACAGTTATTAATAAAAGGTAACACAATCATATTGACGTTAGGTACCAAGGGATACTCAGATGACATTAGGTGCCAAGGGATACCCAGAGTTTAACAACACTGCTCAATCACTAGTTCTCTTTAAAGTTTAAAGAAAGGAAAAAAATTGAACAAAATGTGTTGACAAAGGCTCAGCCTCATTGTAACTAAACCTCAACCAAAAACATGATCCCTATTCCCTGTAATATAAACACAAGTGTGCTAATAGGCTGTTACAACATGATCCACCACCACTACACCAGCAAGGTGCTGAAGACCACAGCTGATTAGACCTGGCAGGCAACAAATGACAGGATGAACACATCACCTATCTGATGATGCAACACTGATCTAGTTTTGTGTCAAATGGGAGTGATCTGATAGGTGTGAAGAAACCTGATGAAATAAGCTGTGAAAATTTCTCAGTTTCCAATCTAATAAGAAAAGTACTAACATGAAGAAGAAAGCCTAACCATAACTAGTAAGATTTATATTAAAATAAAATGGAATTAAAAAAGTAATTGTAACAAAAACATACTTTGAACAGTGCAATCTATAATAGGCTATAACTGCCATCTACTGTGGGAAAACTGCTAATAAGATATCCACATACACCACATAAACATAAATTACATTCATAATTTTAAATTACTATAAATTAACTAGGCAAGATTATTTTTTTTTTACTAGGTAGCTTTAGAAAAATATAATTTACCTTTCATTTATTATATTTGAAAGTATTTTTAAAAACAAGAAACAGAGAAAGTAACATTTAAACCTTCAGATAAATACTTCAGTTAGATCTAGATAAGGCAGACTGTTCAATTTTCAAGTCGTATGCACTTAGTATTAAAAGTATTATACCAGGGGCTTATCTGAACATATAATTCTAAAAATTGATCAAAATTTAATGAAGAAAACTTTAAAAAGCCAAATAAGTCAAAATAAATACAAAAAAATTAGCAGCAATACTAAGGAAATACATGACATACACTAACAAGAACAGAACAATACTTGTGTGGTTCACAAATCACCAGCTGTTAAAAAAAAAATCTGCCTGGTATAACTTCAAACCACTCCCTGGATACAATTTGAGGACTTTCTCAGAGGTTTAGGGCTGCTTACCCCAAAAATACCTTTCCTGAAGCACAATATCACTAGCATTTCATTCTTTTTGCCGAAAGTGAACATTGAAATGATTGTAATTTAACAAATCTTTTGTCACTCATGATGTATTATTTTTCACGGAATTAACTACTTAAGTTAAACTTTTGTTTTACTTCAGAGAAGAAAAAATACATAAACAGCCACTTACGTCCTATGACAGATAATGGTGTTAACTTCCAACAATGCAGTGGAAAAGTTTTATAGAAGGAAGAACTTAAGTGTGCAATAATTCATTTAATGTAGAGCAATCTAAATTTACCTCACCATGTTGGCTAGGACTGTCACACAGGCATACACCTATAACAATCCCTGCCAATGTAATGTTGTCAGGTGGGTTGGATTACAGGGGATGCATGTAAATAAAACGTACCCGATTTAAATATAAGAGCTGAAGTGAAATTTTAACTAGCAGAAATTTAAAAAAAAAAAGGTACAGAAAAGTGACGAAAGAGAAACTGCAAATTTGAGTTGTTGACAACTGGATTTTAATATTAAGGAGGGCAAATAGACTGCTATTTAACGCAAGTGAGTAACACTATAATTTGGGTTTCAAAATCATAATATTATGAAGAAAATCATACTAATAGACAGCCCTGCAGCTTGAAGCAAGAACACACTGCTAATAAATTAAAAACATCACAACAGTATTATATTAGTAATAATAAGAGTAAGTTAAAATACACTATAATACAATTACAGATGGGTACAAGTAATACAAGAAATCAACATACACAAGATATATTTGCTTTATAAAAGCTTTTATCAGTAAAAATGTTCTCAGAAACAAGAGTCTATTGTATGTGACAGGACTAGAAGTGAGATACTCTACAGTTACAAATAGTCAAAACTTAGTGAGGAGATCCACATAAATTGTTGCGTTCTACAATTTTCCTACGATGAAGCTGTCCCAAGATAGGTGAAATGATACTGCTAGCTTCTTGAATGCGCCTCTGAAAACGCTCCCTGTCCAAAGCATAGTTCTGCCAAATGCCACCACGATCTTCTGAACCCACAACGTGAACTGTCAGCAACCTAGGTTCGGCGGCAAAATGAACCTGAAAAAGAAACTAACTACTTAGACATGTGTAACCAAAAAAAAAAAAATGCCATTACAATGAACATAAAATTGAGTACGATAAAAATAATATGCAGGTAAATTACAAGATACTGCTAAATGTTTCATAACCAAATATAACCCTAACACGAGCATCCTTTCCTACAAACAATATTTGCTACACCTCAAGTACCTAGTGAATAATGCATTGTCAATGTTTCTTGGCTTTGATGATCTAGGAAAATAATAATAGCTCATCATTCAATAAACACTATCCCTGTATAATTTCTAGAACTTCTACTTCAAACTTCAATGCAGTTCCAGTATATGCAAGAGCTCACTAAATGTGCCCTCAAAATTTCGTGACACTATTTTTGACTTCTAAAAAAGTTGCTTCCTTAAAAGTATGCTAATGTTAAAAAAATGGGAGCAAGTTTCAGTACAGCAGTTTCTGAAACTAACAAACATACAGTTTAAATTTTGTTATAACTAGTAGTAATACTAGTATTGTGAGGTAGAACACACCTCAGCTGTCGGGTGTTGCAGTGTGCCACAGGTTTTGTTAACATCAACCACTGTGTCCTTTAATAAGAATGTAAGCACCATGGTAGTGCTCACAGGGAAGCCAGTGTTGCTGCTGGTCACCTGACAGCTGGCTGATGCTCCTGATTCAAACAAACAGAAGCCATGGTGCTCAAGGGGGAGCCTGGAGTACCAAATCTAACCCTAAATGGGTGCAGCCCTGACAAAACTTTATTTTTTTAACAACAGCAACCCTGTATTCTCATCAACACCCCAAAGTGTGATGGCGATTGGATGAAAGGTGTATTAATGGATAAAGGACATACATACACTTTCATTTATGACTACCAGAGATCAGAACTTTAAGTAAAAGTGTAAAAAGGGAAGCTTAAAAAAATAACAATAACACCCCATCAGGCTAATTAATTATTTATAGGCCTACTTCATTGGCTATTCATTAGCTAGGAATATCATCATAGACATCAGTACCCAAAAATATGATCTCAAGGGACAAAAAAAAAAGGTTAACTGGTTGTAAACAAGATGCAAATAGTAGCATGACAAATTAAATTTACACACCTTGATACTAGGATCTTGAATAATATCAGTGGAACAGGAACGCTTACAGCTGCGAAATCCAGCTGATGGGTAGTTTTTCTCCCATTTAGCATTAATTTCTTTTAACAATTCAGAATCACCGCTGTCATCTTCTGAATAACCTAAGCACAAATCTTTATTTGGCAATTTAGAGATCAATCGATCGAGACAAAGACCAGTTTGAAAATGCAACTCGTCTGGTAAAACAACACCAATGCAGCTAAAGCTAGTTTTCTTTGCTGGTGTGCTTTCGCAGGAATCAGACATATATGCAGAAAAAGCCTGAAGGGTATGCGCGAAAGCATCTGTCAAAGAGTCTTCATCAGACCAATCTGTGCTGTTATCTTCACAATCACTTGTATCAGAATTATCAGAGTCTGAATCTAGTGTAAAAAATATACTAACACTATTAGACTCTGCTGGTTTCTTTTGCATAGATTCTTTAACTTGAGCTTTTGTGGAATGTACATGGTTGTTTTCACATGATAATAAAGTGTTTGTTTCCTGGCAGGCAGAATCTTTGACAGAAGGATTAACGTTATCGTAACTCTTTTCAACACTGGGGGTTGAAGAGTTGGCATGTTTTTTCTTCTGCCTCATTCTTTTTTTCTGTTTCTTTGAAGATGGACGACCTTTTTTGACAACTTTTCTTGGCATTAGCAATACGTCTGACTTGTTTACTAGTTGGGCATGAGGACAATGTTTCGCTGTACCCTCTGCAGATTTCACCACATCAGGGCATAAACTAAAACTAGTAGAATTGCTGCCAAGGGTTACATTTTCTACAATTTCTGAATTATCACAGACTTCTTTATCACCAATAACATTCTCAACAATTGAAACTGTATGTACATCTACATTTTCTGGCTGTTTAGGCGGGGAGTCAGCCTCTCCATTGACCTTTTGGTCATTATCTGAAGATGTAACTTTCATTGTTTTAACACTATCACTTGGTAATTTGTTTAATCCTAGAGAATTTTCCTTTTTGCAGTCGCCTACAATGCTGTAAGCTCCCATTAATCTAATTGGAAAGATGTGATTAAATTCTGGACTGATATTGTCAAAAGGGTCAATAAAAGATGCTGCCATGCCTTTGGGATAATTTTTTTGGTCTTTCATTAAAGCTCCTGAACAATGCATGCTCTGCTGTACTCTAGGCAAGCTAAAAAATTTAGGCTCAGTTGCAGTGGTAAAAGTTGGGCTCCTCTTTAAATTACTCAGGCCTGTGAGAAGCTCAGGTGATGATGACGATGACACCAACTTTTTTTGAATAGATGTCATGTTAGTGGGATGACTGGCGTACGAGTAAGCTGGAACAAAATTCAATCTATCTGAACTTTCATGTGAAATTTCACCAACACTATTCAGCCGAATAAGTCCTGGCATTTTTGTAGATTTAGAACTATGGATTTGAAATAAATTGCTGGGATTATAAGTTAATTTAGTTGAATCCACCATGGAGCTGCTTCTGCTTAGAAACTGAGTATCACCATCCCTTGTTTGTTCATGTACTACACTACTTTTACTACTTGCTTGAGTTCGCCATGGCCACAAGGAAAAAAGAGACTTCATTAATTTAAGATGAACTAAAAGTAAGAGTCTCCAAAGGCAAATTACAATAAAATATTCTCAGAAATTAATTAGAATCTAGATTCTCTAAATCTAGAAAATCTACTTGGCTGTTCAGGTAGGTGAGAACAGAAACAGCTGGCCTCGTTCAAACAACAAAATTGGTTGATTTTATTGTATTTATGAAACAAAACAATTAAGAAACAATATAGGAGAATACGATGTGACACTGTGTTGTTGTAATTTTGCACTTCAGTCAGCTGAAGAATTTGTTGATTGTCAGAATGTCCTTTACCATTCACAGGAAATCTACTTGTAACAACTCCCACTGGTTTGCGAGGAATGTCTGAAAAACGCGGTCGATTTTGTTCACAAGCACAAGCAGCATCAACCGTATGTTTCCAATATAAATCTCTTTGAATTTCAAATTTAAGAAACTTATTACTTTTGACTGAATTTAAATCCGTTAGCGATGACTCCATAATAACAGTTGTTGAACTTATAAGAATATTTTTGATTTCAGTATTTGATAGATCTGACTCTCCATGATATTTTCAACTCAGTAAATACTCAATTGAAGAACATTTTACTAACGCCGGAACTTGTAGCATCCACTCTGAAAAGTAGTTCTAAATATTAACTTGACCAACAAGAATAAAAATTGACATAATGTCGAAAATAGTTTTTCAAAGATCATATCAATTATGTAAATATAATATTATATGTATTTTACACTTTATAAATTCAACCTAATATAATGCTCCTGAATACCGTAAAAGTATATTTATAGATTTTTAAAAAGTAGTCTGAAATCGCCGATTGCATCAGACCGATAGATCCTGATAGAGATCTAGCCTAAACGTTAAAAATAATTTAATACGGCAGTAGATTTTAAAAAATTAAACAACAAAAAAAAAATAATAAATAACACAACTCAGAATAAGCATGCTCCATCTTTCTCCCATTCTCCTCAATCCAACACGATTTCCCTTTCTTCATTGAAACTTATAAATCGTATATTTTCAGCTTTAGCTACTTCTAATTTTACGTTGTTGTTTTCTTTTTTTTAAAATTAATGGCTAAGCTAGATTTTGCCAACATAAAACACTAATGAAACTTTTAAAATTTCCTCTTCTGTTATTAACTATATCTAGATCTAGATATATAAGTCTATAGTATAGAAATCTACATTCATACTCTTTTTTTTAAAAGAAGAATAAAAAGAGCATACACAAAGTATTTTATTTAAATGTTATCTTTTAATAATTAAAAAAAAAATTAGACAGTTTTTTTTTTAAAAAGTATTATTTTAAGGGAGTATTATAGATCTCGATCTACCTCCGCCTTTCATTTTCGTCGAAAAGTTTTATTGCTGTTTTGCAACAGATTTAAAATTGGCACTGAGACAGTCCCAGAGCCTTTTATTTTATGAATGAGGACAATGATGTAATTGGGCATACTAAGTATTAAGATAAAGCTTAGTAGGATAGAGCTTTTTAATTTAGCTCAAACAATATCTAGATATGTTTGTATCTAATGCCTAAACTAAGCTAATTTCGATAAATCCTTTTAAACTTCAAATTTTTTTCTAAGGGAGAGTAACCAGGAATAAACAAAATTACACGTAACTTGAGAAGTCGTCTTTCCTGTTGCATAGATTTTCGTTCAAAGCGTGTAGGCTTACATAATAATTTAATATTATCTATGTAGTGTGAATGATAAAATGCAGCACTGTAGCAGATACAACTTTTTGATAGTCTATGTTTGAAGTGATTTATTATATGACTTTCAATGTTGAATATATTGCCTATGATTAATTACAATTTAAACAAAAAGGTAACAAGGAGCGTAGTATGAGATGAGTAAGGGAGGACGGGGTATGTTGTCAAGATCTTGATGTAGCCGATTGTGTCATAAAATTAAAAAAAAAGTGCTGCAACAGGAAAAAAAAATGCCGCAAGAAATAACACTTTTAATTAAGTAAACTTTTCTCCAAATCCGTTTCGTCACATTCAACATCAGTATTAGCCACGACAGGAGGAGAATATTACAATACAAATTCGAACGTAATTTTGGCTGTAGATCAACAGTGTCTACTGCCCCACGGCAATGGCGATTTTACTCAGGCCATCTTTCAGTTTGACATCAGCGTTTCTTTCAGCCTCCTCCTCCCCCCCCCAGAAAGAAATAGAATTTATTTACAAAATATATACTTTGACCAGTACCCGCCCGCTCCACCCTTCCCGAACCAAATGGAATTCATATAGAAAACATATACTTTTACCAGTGTCCGTCCCCAACCCCCCCCCCCCGAAAATTTTTGTTTGCCCCCTCCCGAGAAATACATTTGGGAGAAACACTGAATAACATTCGCGTAATTTAACTTTCTTACGCTGTCTCCAAGTAAAATAACTCATTATATTTGCACCCAATGGTATGTACTCAGCAGGCCGGGTCAGTGGCGTAGCCAGGATCGTCTCAAGGGGGGGGGGGGTTCCAATTTTTACCCGGGGACAAACTTTCGATTTGCACCCACCACTCAAACTTTCGATTTGCACCCCCCCTCAAACTTTCGATTTGCACCCCCCCCTCATACTTTATATATATATATACCGAGGGGTCTATGGGGGGGGGGGGTTATGACCCCCCACTTACCCCCCCTGCCTACGCCACTGGGCCGAGTGATAGTGTATTAGACACCTTGCAGGTGGTGCGGGTCCGCGACATAACATGTCAATATTGATTTTTTTTTGTTGAATTTTTCATCATATAAAGTACACAGTGCGAAATCACTACACACGCGATTGGTTCTAATTCATTATTTTGACGTTAGATTTAATAATTTATTCATTTGCTATTCAAATCAGGCTAGAACTTAAAAAAATATTATCGATATTTTTAAAAGACAAAAACACGTAAGCTGAGTGTGACTTCTTTTTAGACGTGAATAATAAAGTTGCCTTTCAGGAGTTGGCGGGACACGACGGAGGTGAAGTAGTGAAGTAGAGTTCACCTGTTTCTGTGACCCCAGCATAGGAAGTGATAGTGTGTTCAGACCTATGTTCATCCTAAATCTGCGATATTTTATGTTTGTATATTTTAATTGTATTATTTGATGATGCTGCTCACTACGAAAGAGAAAGTAAGAAACAATCGGTTTTCTATTTAATGATTTAACTCTGACGGTTAGTATAATTGTGTAACGAAAGGTAATATTGAGGAATGGAAGGTGATGTGTATGTTAATTTTTAGAATCGCTTGCTTTTGCTGTTTGGAGTGTAGCATTATGTAAAGCTCTTTAATTTCTTTAAACATTTTGTAAACTAACATACATGTGTGTTCTTCTTCTTCTTCGTTCTTAATTTTAGTGTTGGATATTAAGGATACGTATCAACTGGTTATGCGCAATTGATGCCATTGACTCCGATTTCAGCCTGCTTTTCTTTTTGGATTTGCATCCATAGCCTTTGTCCAACAAAGAACAAAATAAAAGGCAGCAGTTGTTTAATTTTGGAGTTGTCCCAAGCTAATGAGCCTCACCTGCCCGAGGGTTCGAACTCGAGACTTGAGTTTTACCGACTCGAACACACCGACCCCCTAACATGTGTGTTAAAATGTACATTTTTACATGGCTATAAATGGCTGGAGCAACGCCTAGCCGATAACGGCTAGTATACCCTATGATGATTACCCGATTACATCAGAAAGAAACGCTTAACAACCAATGTTACATAAATCAACCCGACTCAGAATGACTATGGTTATACTTTAATTGCATATGAAATCAATAAAACAAATACAATTCGTTGACCAAACTCTCGATAAACGATCTTGATGCGTGTATCGCCAGCGTAATAGCAGCGTTTAAATATGATTCGACAGCAAACAGTTATGTCGTCCACAAATTAAAAGCCTATTGTTTGGTTGTTTGACCGCCAGTGGCGTAGGCAGGGGGGGGGGAGGTTAAGGGAGGTCATAACCTCCCCATAGACCCCTCGGTATATATATAAAAATTATGAGGGGGGGGGGTGCAAATCGAAAGTTTGAGGGGGGGTGCAAATCGAAAGTTTGAGGGGGGGGGGGGTTGCAATTCGAAAGTTTGAGGGGGGGGGGGGGTGCAAATCGAAAGTTTGTCCCCGGGTAAAAATTAGAACCCCCTCCTTGAGACGATCCTGGCTACGCCACTGTTGACCGCACATTTTATAGGCCTAACTTTGGGAGTTCAGTCCTGTCATAATTAACGAGAGCACATTGCACATTTTGGATTTCTATTTTTCAAATTCTCGTAATGTTAGGATAGTGGTAGCGAAATGAATTCATAGCTACAAAGCGGAACTAGATGCTATAATACTGTGATTGGTGCTTAAATATTTCATGTTGGCTTAACAAAAATGAAAACAAAATGTCAGTTTAATGGACATGCTACTTATAGTAAGCTATTAAATATAATAAAATTACTGATTGTGTTGCTTAGATCTAGTTCAGATTTGTTTGTGAATTGATAAATAGATATTTACCTTTTTAACACATTACGGAAATAACAGTCTTATTGCTAGATTTGTAAGAAACACAGGGCTTCAAAGGCATTTTATGTGTTTTTAACCTCCCTCCCCCCCACCCACTCACCACACACTCATACGATAAAAGCTAAATTTACAGTTTTGGGTACCATGCCCAACATGTTGTTCTTATTACTTACCACCCTGGCCGTGACGTCAATGTCGAGCACCAGCACCAACACCACACCCACATCCACATCCACATGGAGAAGCACACGGTCTGAAATCAAACGTCAGATCATGGACAGAAAAGATGTCAAGTCTAAGTTAAGTCCTGCGTCAGTTGTGGACTTAACTTTTAAGTTTTATGCGTATCAGGTAGGTTGTTAGCTTATTTTAATTACGTGAAATACTATTAGTATCTTAATTATTATAGTTAGAGAAAATAAATCCTTTTTTTTTCTTTGGATTGTTTACGTTAATTCTCAGGGTAATGTTATAATGCAGGGTTCCGAAAAAGTTCCGTTTCGGTTAAATGTTGTGCCTTTTAAGGTTCTAAATTACCTTATCCGGCTATATTTACGGATCGGTAAAAGATTCAATTCCAGATAAAGTTAACTTTTCAATGAAATTTCGTATCCTGTTAAATTTCCGTTTCTGCCTAAATTTCCGTATTCGTCCGGTAAATTTTCCGGATCCAATTAAGTTACCAAATCTGGATCAAATCCCTGTTCAGTAAAATTTCGTTTCGGGTTAAATTTCTCCCGCTTATACATAACATTTTCAGTGTTTCTTCCAGACTTTTTTCATCAGGGGGAGGGGGGGGGGGGGGGGCACTTGATATTTTCGGGGGGGGGGGGGGCGGTCAACATTTTTCGTGGGCGGACGGCGGACACTAGTAAAAGTATATGTTTACTATATAAATTCCATCTCGTTCGGGGGGGGGGGGGGGCGGTAGACTTTCTTCGGGGTGGGGGGGGGGGGGGGGTGCAGAGACCCCCCGAAGAGATGCATGGAAGAAACTCTGGACATTTTCATATCCTGTTAAATTTCTGGATACGGTTAAAATGCCGATTCTGGATAAAAATCCGTTTTCAATGACATTTTTCGTTTCTGATTAAATTTTGAGGTTGTGGTGGGGAATGTTTTATCCTGTTAAAATAATTAATATAATGTTAAAACCAGTTATTATTACATTTTATTTCGTAGACTACCAATCTTGGCACAATGCTTAAATTTAACGTTAAACCCAATTAAAATCAACATTTAATGTTGTACTTAAAATGTATTCCTTATTGGTCAGTTTAGTTAATTTAAAGCTGATAAAAATTTTGTATGACATAAATTTTATTAAAAACTCTTTTAAAAAAATACTATTTTAATATTGTTATGTATTATCATATTTTCTTACATAAATTTAGCATTATAAGGTCTTCAAAAAAGAAGCAATGCAAGGAATTTAATTTTAAACATTTTGACTAAAAAACCAATTTTCAGGTTTTACAAGGGGATGAAGTAGAGCAATCGTTCACGACAGCCAACTACATTGAACTACGATGGGATGACATGGATCTTACATGGGACATTCGGGAGCACCCAGAGACACCATTTATAGCCTTCGACTACGATGAGTAAATGTCTTTAAAGTTGATTCTTCTTTCTTCTTAATTAAAATAAAGGTACAAAAACTTTAGTGTCATTAAAGCAGTTGAAGTAGAGTTCACCTGTTTCAGTGGCATCGGGATGTGAAGGGATGTCGTGCTCAGCCTAGCCGCCTTTAGTTTCTCTAATGTGAGTCAGGTACCCATCAGAGCTGGGTGGACTCAATGGATGTCGTACAGACTCAAGACCAGTATCTGAACTCGAAATTTTTGGGTTAGCAGTCGAACGCTCTACCATTCAACCATACTGCCCTAATATTAATTGTAATATTGAAGTGAATTTCCTCCGACATAACTAAGTATAACGCATTAGTTTTATTCATCTGTGTACATATTAATTTTATTCGATTTGTTAAGATTTATTATCTTTACAATAGTAAACAATATCGTTTTAGTGTTAATTATTTAGTTAAGGAAAAGGGATAGTTAATAGTGGGACCAAACCCGCATTTCGAAAACAAAAGTGAATCCGATGTTGAAAGATATAGATCGATAACTCAGTCATGTTATTCATTATGATCATATTTGTAACAACTTTAAAATAACATTTAGTGTATATAATCATTATGGTATTATGCTTTAAATGATATTTTCCATTTATGTTCTTGTTAAAAAACAACATCTGACAGTATATTATACATTTTATTATAAGTTTTGGTGCAATAGTATTTAAAGAATTATATATATATATATATATATATATATATATATATATATATATATATATATATATATATATATATATATATATATATATATATATATATATATATATATATATATATATATATATCACTCTCTACGTCGCCCAACCATGTGGGAAACCAACACGCACGCACGCCGATTCTCTAACCCTCATCCCGCCCCCAACCTTGCTGTCTAGGCATGCGCAACAGACCATATCGCTATCACCCCCATCCCACCAGTCTGGTGAGCTGTGGTTCGCGCCGAATGTTTACAATCTTAGAGCCGGGTCGAATTAGTGATGGCTATTAGGGGCAGATAATTTAGTGTTTAAACGATTTGAAACTAAGTGGAGGTAACAAGTTCTGCTTGATCTTTTCATTGTCGTCTGTAAACTGTCGTCACGGAAGGCTGCTTTCACGGGGGAGGGGGGGGGAGATAAGGAAAATCGTCCTTCATGAGCTACTGATAGCGTTTTCAAGCAAAATATTTTCAGTCGCAGCATTGGTAGTGTCGAATTCACAAATTATGACCCTAACACTGCTACCATGTAGCCTACTTTTTCTTTTGTAGTTTGTGGCACCCAGAGCTCCTTGTAACAAATTCAGCCAAGGATGATTTTTCCTTGATCCGACCGATGAGTCAGAAGTTGATAGTGTTTTACAATGGTACTGTCTCATTGAGCACGCCGGCCATGCTCAGAACTACCTGCTCGCTTGATCTCACGCACTATCCGTTCGATGTCCAGGTAGGCGTTTCATTTATGTACGGTCCGAGGGCCGCATGCGGACCTTTGGTAGCTATTTTGGTTTTCGTCTTTTTTTTTCATGATTTCCATAAAAATGAAAAAAAAAAAAGAACGAAAGTAGCTCACGTGAACTTAAAGGATTTCTTCCAGACGCTTTTCTCAGGGCGGAAAAAAGGGGGGGGGGGGGTTGCTTAGGGGGGGGGGGCGATATAGATATATGAAAGAGACACTGATGTCTAAATGCAGCCCCCCTCCCCCTCTTGCATAAATTAATTAATATCTGAACTATCAGAAGCAACATAAACTACGACATTATTTACAAACAAGTTGAAAACTACAACATAAAAAAACAACAACAACTAAACAGAACCAGCAAAGCAAAGATTTGTGTTTGCCCTAACAACGTTTTTTTTTTCTTTTTGTTATTGCAGAACTGTGAGATTATATTTATTCCATACTTTGACGAATGTAACTTCACTCTAAGAATAATTGAGATTGACAGCATGCCAGATCCTTTTCGATTGACCGGAGAGTGGAACATCATCAGAAGGCATATAACCACAGAAGTCTACATGCCGTATATATACAGCATGCCTCTTGCAATGTTAGTTATCTTTGCGTTATTTTGCGTGTATTGATTAATAATTGAAAATGAAGTTATTAAATTTTTTAAAGTTTTCTGTAAGTTTTCTAATTAAATAAACCGGGAATGATCTCCCCTAAACTTTCTCGAATATTCTTATATAAAATAACAGGGGATGGGAACTCGGGCTATAGACATGATTTTTAATCCATTTTAAATACTTAAAGTTTTAAAAATAGAATAAAATCTCGTAGAAAAAAGAATTGCACACCAAGTGAACGCCAAATAAAAAAGAACATAATAGTGCGCAATATTATTAGTACTTTAAAAATTTACATGCGTTTTTTGAGAAATCGGAAGTAGCGTAAATTACTACTTCCGGTCAACGGAAATTACTAAACATTTAACAGAAGGTAGAGAATTAGATCTTTTACTTACATGTGAAATTTCATTTATCTATCTGAAATAGTACTCGAGTTATAGACTTTTGAAAAATTCAAAGTAGGAAAAGTACCACTTCCGGCTATCGGAAATCGCTCAAAAGTTGATACCCAGGCATGCGCAACAGACCATATCGATTTTGATAAAATACTTATATATGAAATTTCATCAACCTAGCTGTAACGGCACTTAAGTTATCGTGTTTACACACGGACACACAGACAGACAGACAGACACACAGACATACGGACAAGATTGCAAAATTATGTTTTTCCGTATCAGTGAGGTGTAAAACGTCGAGATTTGTAAAAATCTCGATTTTTTTTTTTGCACGATTACAAGACTTTCTCTAAACTTCGTATATACGAGAAAGTAAAAAAGTTCAAAATATTTGTTAAGTCTTAAAATTATCAATATCAACATTTTCTGTAATATAATTACCACCTTTATACAATAAAATAAAACCAACTCAAGAACTGACTCTTATTCTCTCTATAAGTGCCAAGCTCAAGATTCGCCGGTCATCTCTATTCTACGTGGTCAGCGTCATAGTGCCCATGGTCATCACGAGCCTGACGACGTCATGCGTGTTCCTCATCCCTCCAGCCTCAGGAGAGAAGGTGTCTTTCCTCGTCACTCTCTTCGTCTCCAACGCCGTCTTCTTAAACTACATCGCGTAAGTCGACGTGTTGATCTTTGGCACATACGCAGTCTAAGCAGTAAAAATATATCTAAGCAATTACGCAAACTATAGATAAGTTAAATGCGTTAAAACGATGGTGAGGAGTATGGTTGGGGACGTTAATAATAATTAACTGTGAAGACAAGCTCAAACTGTAAAAAACAATCTTTTTTTAGCCTGAGGATATGTGGGGCTAGTGAAGTAGAGTTCATCTGTTTCTGTGACCTCGACATATGAAAAGATGGTGTGGTCAGCACTATATCCTACCCAGCTGCTTTTACTTTCCCTAACGTGAGTCATATACCCAACAGTGCTGGGTGGACTTGTGGACGTTCTACTTAATTGAACCTGGATTCGAACTCGAGACTGTTAGGATTGCAGTTGGATGCTCTACCATTTGAATACGCCACCCATGTATTTTAGAATAGCACGGCAGTTTTTGAAAATACAAGCAAACAGCAAATAAAACAACCCACCCGCGGCCACACTCATAAATAGGATATATGGTTGAACAATGATTATTGTCTCTTTTACTTTATTCTCGAAGGGCTGAATGAAATATTTTTTTTGGGAGGGGGGGGGGGGGGGGAAAGTAGATTTGCTTCCTATCCTTGAAGTAATGCATGAAAGAAACTATAACAATACTAACACACATTTTCTTACTTTTTACCCTCTAGGACCACAATGCCACGCACCATGAGTCTTGATAACCTGCCCAGACTGTCGTTGTTTCTGGTCGTAGGTTTGATGGAAAGTTTTTTCGCGCTGATAGCCACCATATTCGTCATGAGAAAATATCGCCAGGAACAGGAACTCAAGAAGAAAAGGGCCCTGAACCAGCATGGTTCGAACATTCAGTATACAAACACTTCTAACAATAATGGGAATGGTCACGTCATGCGGGATCCGCTGTCTGAAAGGGAAGCTAATGATAAACATAATAAATCTACCCGAGAGTCATCTGGTACAAAAGCGAATGAGGGTGTGCAAAATCAAGAAATGTTTATGAAGCGGAACAGGGTTTTGCCGTTGGAAAACCCAAACAAGACAGAATTGGAAAAGGACCATAAGAAATCCCCGGAGAGAAAAGGGTGTGGCATCACATGGACGCAATGGGACATGGTGTTTTTTATATTGTATCACGTGACCAGTATGCCATTTTATGTTTTGTTGTTTATATGAGACTGAAATGTTAGTCTTTAAAGTGAAGAAAGTAGTAAAATGATATTCATTATTAGTTGCTAGGTAAACGTGTGCTATATTAGTTACTAAATGATAATATTGATGTTCTGGATACCTGGTAATGAAAGGATAACATAACGAATATGGATATAGTGAAGATTATAGATAAGCATATGATTTTGGTTTGAAACAGAATTAGGGATTTTCAGATGGATGTGGGGAAAGAAAGGGATAGGTAGGCTACTTGAATAATATGTAATGTCTAGTGGGGTAATTATACAGGGTGGTATATGAGAGGATGTAATTGATCTGGGGGCTAAGGACCGGGTGGGGGTTGTAGTGGCTAACGCCTTACATCCAGATACAGCATGTCACATTTAGGATAAAATTATTAGAGTTGAATTTAGTTATATGCTTTTTAAGTTAGGTTTTAATATTACGAGCCGGCCCGCGGCATAACATACGCCGCTATTTAGTTGTTGTTTTTTCTACTTTTCAGTAATTCATAATTTGTGAATTCGACAGTACCAACGCTGACACTGAAAATATTTCTTCAAAACACTATAAGTAGCGCGTTAAGGACCATAACCCCCCCCCCCTTCCTCGCCCCCCCCCCCCCCAACGTTTAAAATCGTTTCAAACTAAATTATCTGCCCCTAATAGCCGTCACTAAACCCGACTCCACGAAGGTAAACATAGCGTGAACCACAGCTCACTAAGACCATGTAGGGTTGGGGATGGTAGGGAGCGCGTTTACAGCTTGTTTTCTAGCGTCTCCCAGAAGAGAATTATATATATACTAGGCATACTGCCTAGCTTCGCTTAGGTTTTTAAATAACATTTGAGAATTTGAATACTTAATTATTTAGCGATGGATTTGGTGTTGAGTGCTTTAATTTAAACAGTAATGCTAACTTTAGAAAAAAAATGTTTTAGTTTGTCATTTAAATACCGTTCGCAGAGAAATATCGGAAAGTACGCAATGTATAAGTCAAATGGAATTAGAACTACACAGCTTCCATGAACAGTACATCTCATAGTTTTTATTACATTGCCTTTTGAAATTTATTTATTTATTTAATTGGGATACGTAACTAAATTAACAACTTAATTTTGTACTAAAACAAATGCTATACTTCGTCCTTTTCTGTTTCTGTTTAAAATAGTATACAATTATTTGAAAAATAATAATTTAAAAAACGTTACCTCCCTTGAAAACTGAACGTATGACGTATGTCTTTGTTTTTTTTTTACAAACAGTTGCTATGCTTATATAAGAAATTACGGTATATGAACATATTTAACAACTATAATGGCTGTTTCCGACGGGAATAAAGTTTTTTTGTTAGCCTCCAGGGTCGTCTACGACGTCACATAATATTAAGGGGATCGTTCGTCAATTTATTTATATATATATCTCATATAAGGAGAATTTCACTCAAGATCATCTTTTAGCCCTCGTCGAGGGCTTTGAGTCTGACCAACAGTTTTTCCATACGGCCTAGTCATCTATAGTAGTGTATGCAAAAAATTAGCCAGATATACTGAGCTTAAGTACCCTAAAGTCTGCGTTGAAATGACCCTCTGTTTTTCCCATAAAATACAAAGATTATATAGGGAAATACAACTGGTCAGTTTTGACCGCTTTACAAAGTTTTCCCAGATATGCCGAGTTTTTTGTGACACCCCTAGGTGTTCTTCTACCACCTCACAAAATATCAAGGGGGGTCGTCGGAGGAAATTTTTTTTCGTAATAGAGCTCATATAAAGAGAATTTCACTCGCGGTCACTTTTTAGCCCTCGTCGAGGGCTTTGAGTGTAACCGACAGTTTTCCCTAAAGGTCAAGCCATTGACCTAGGAGCATGCAAAAAATTAGCCAGATATACTGAGCTTAAGTACCCTAAAGTCTGCGTTGAAATGACCCTCTGTTTTTCCCATAAAATACAAAGATTATATAGGGAAATACAACTGGTCAGTTTTGACCGCTTTACGAAGTTTTCCCAGATATGCCGAGTTTTTTGTGACACCCCTAGGTGTTCTTCTACCACCTCACAAAATATCAAGGGGGGTCGTCGGAGGAAATTATTTTTCCTGATATAGCTCATATAAAGAGAATTTCACTCGCGGTCACTTTTTAGCCCTCGTCGAGGGCTTTTAGTGTAACCGACAGTTTTCCCTAAAGGTCAAGCCATCGACCTAGGAGCATGCAAAAAATTAGCCAGATATACTGAGTTTAAGTACCCTAAAGTCTGCGTTGAAATGACCCTCTGTTTTTCCCATAAAATACAAAGATTATATAGGGAAATACAACTGTTCAGTTTTGACCGCTTTACGAAGTTTTCCCAGATATGCCGAGTTTTTTGTGACACCCCTAGGTGTTCTTCTACCACCTCACAAAATATCAAGGGGGGTCGTCGGAGGAAATTTTTTTTCGTAATAGAGCTCATATAAAGAGAATTTCACTCGCGGTCACTTTTTAGCCCTCGTCGAGGGCTTTGAGTGTAACCGACAGTTTTCCCTAAAGGTCAAGCCATTGACCTAGGAGCATGCAAAAAATTAGCCAGATATACTGAGTTTAAGTACCCTAAAGTCTGCGTTGAAATGACCCTCTGTTTTTCCCATAAAATACAAAGATTATATAGGGAAATACAACTGGTCAGTTTTGACCGCTTTACGAAGTTTTCCCAGATATGCCGAGTTTTTTGTGACACCCCTAGGTGTTCTTCTACCACCTCACAAAATATCAAAGGGGGTCGTCGGAGGAAATTTTTTTTCGTAATAGAGCTCATATAAAGAGAATTTCACTCGCGGTCACTTTTTAGCCCTCGTCGAGGGCTTTGAGTGTAACCGACAGTTTTCCCTAAAAGGCAATCCATTGACCTAGGAGCATGCAAAAAATTAGTCAGATATACTGAGCTTATGTACCCTAAAGTCTGCGTTGAAAAGACCCTCTGTTTTTCCCATAAAATACAAAGATTATATAGGGAAATACAACTGGTCAGTTTTGACCGCTTTACGAAGTTTTCCCAGATATGCCGAGTTTTTTGTGACACCCCAATGTGTTCTCCTACCACCTCACACAATTTCAAGGGGGGTCGTCGGAGGAATTTTTTTTTCGTAATAGAGCTCATATAAAGAGAATTTCATTCGCGGTCACTTTTTAGCCCTCGTCGAGGGCTTTGAGTGTAACCGACAGTTTTCCCTAAAGGTCAAGCCATTGACCTAGGAGCATGCAAAAAATTAGCCAGATATAAAGAGCTTAAGTACCCTAAAGTCTGCGTTGAAATGACCCTCTGTTTTTCTCATAAAATACAAAGATTATATAGGGAAATACAACTGGTCAGTTTTGACCCCTTTACGAAGTTTTCCCAGATATGCCGAGTTTTTTGTGACACCCCAAGGTGTTCTCCTACCACCTCACAAAATTTCAAGGGGGGTCGTCGGAGGAATTTTTTTTTCGTAATAGAGCTCATATAAAGAGAATTTCACTCGCGGTCACTTTTTAGCCCTCTTCGAGGGCTTTGAGTCAAACCGACAGTTTTTCCTAAAGGTCAAGCCATTCACCTAAGAGTATGCAAAAAATTAGCCAGATATACTGAGCTTAAGTATCCTAAAGTCTGCGTTGAAATGACCCTCTGTTTTTCCCATAAAATACAAAGATTATATAGGGAAATACAACTGGTCAGTTTTGACCCCTTTACGAAGTTTTCCCAGATATGCCGAGTTTTTTGTGACACCCCAAGGTGTTCTCCTACCACCTCACAAAATTTCAAGGGGGGTCGTCGGAGGAATTTTTTTTTCGTAATAGAGCTCATATAAAGAGAATTTCACTCGCGGTCACTTTTTAGCCCTCGTCGAGTGCTTTGAGTGTAACCGACAGTTTTCCCTAAAGGTCAAGCCATTTACCTATAAGCATGCCAAAACTGAGCCAGATGTAAAGAGGGTTAGTGCCATAAAATCCGTTTTGAAATGACCCTCTGTTTTCCCCATAAAATACAAAGATTATATAGGGAAATACGACTGGTCAGTTTTGACCCATTTTCCGATTTTTCCCGGACATGGCGAGTTTTTTGTGACACCCCAAGGCGTTCTCCTACCACCTCACAAAATATCAAGGGGGGTCGTCGGAGGAATTTTTTTTTCGTAATAGAGCTCATATAAAGAGAATTTCACTCGCGGTCACTTTTTAGCCCTCGTCGAGTGCTTTGAGTGTAACCGACAGTTTTCCCTAAAGGTCAAGCCATTTACCTATAAGCATGCTAAAACTGAGCCAGATGTAAAGAGGGTAAGTGCCATAAAATCCGTTTTGAAATGACCCTCTGTTTTCCCCATAAAATACAAAGATTATATAGGGAAATACGACTGGTCAGTTTTGACCCATTTCCCGATTTTTCCCGGACATGGCGAGTTTTTTGTGACACCCCAAGGCGTTCTCCTACCACCTCACAAAATATCAAGGGGGGTCGTCGGAGGAATTTTTTTTTCGTAATAGAGCTCATATAAAGAGAATTTCACTCGCGGTCAATTTTTAGCCCTCGTCGAGGGCTTTGAGTGTAACCGACAGTTTTCCCTAAAGGTCAAGTCATTGACCTAGGAGCATGCAAAAAATTAGCCAGATATACTGAGCTTAAGTATCCTAAAGACTGCGTTGAAATGACCCTCTGTTTTTCCCATAAAATACAAAGATTATATAGGGAAATACAACTGGTCAGTTTTGACCGCTTTACGAAGTTTTCCCAGATATGCCGAGTTTTTTGTGACACCCCAAGGCGTTCTCCTACCACCTCACAAAATATCAAGGGGGGTCGTCGGAGGAATTTTTTTTTCGTAATAGAGCTCATATAAAGAGAATTTCACTCGCGGTCAATTTTTAGCCCTCTTCGAGGGCTTTGAGTGTAACCGACAGTTTTCCCTAAAGGTCAAGTCATTGACCTAGGAGCATGCAAAAAATTAGCCAGATATACTGAGCTTAAGTATCCTAAAGACTGCGTTGAAATGA